TCAGTTATACGCCGTAACTGCGTTTCGCTGCTGCGCGACCATCATCAGTTGCGCGTGGACTGAGTATTCCGCAAGGACACCTGCCCCTACGTGGATTCGAACCGGTGACTAAGGTTTGCAAGCCAGGTCTACAATCCTTTCGGTCACCGGTCGAGAGACCAATATGCAGTGAGGAGATCATTTCATTCCAAGCCAAGTGACAGAGTCAAACCAATGTGTAGTGCAGCCCAGTAAGGTGAACATTATGCCCGCAATCACAACTGGGAAAAGATACCCTGGATGACGCATTAGCAGCTTGGCGCTTCTACACTAACGATGTAGAAGACAAATATTGGAGTTGTGTGCAGCATGAAAGGCAGCAAGCAACGAGTGGTTAGGGGAAGCTGAATGGCTGTAGGTATACCTGTTTTTTCGTGCAGGTTGCATCATGGAAAAGATCAACCACTTAGTTGAACTGTGCCACACAATGTTACGGAATACACCGTTAGTTTATCCATTTAACTTAAAACAAGTTGTCAAGTGAAGATGATTAGTTAAAGCATCAAATGTGAGCACCGCATTCGGCAAACGTGACATGAAACGAAAGTGTGTGGTGACCAAGTTGAACGAGTCTATTTTGGAAGCAAGCGTGTAATTCTTAGTCATATCAACCGGCGCGGAAATGCCAACAACACTGCTGCTTAGGTTGCACATGGAACAAGGTGATCCGGGTGAAGAATAAAATGGACAACGATATGCGGTGGATAGAGCTGCCTTCATTCACGTCAGAAAATAATAATGATAAGAATAAGAATAAAGGAAGTATTCACAGAGGGATGTACAAAAGCCGATATCGTCAGCTGAATCAGGTAGCAAGGAATGGATGTAAGAGCACTAGACTTCATAACCGTGACATGATAAATAAATACAAAACTTATTCTCCATTGAACGAGACGCACCTAGAAAAGTGTGATCGAAGTTATCTAACCAAGGATGTGAATGATCCCGAGGACCCTGTTGCAGAACTCAATCCTTCAATCCAACCCAGCAAAAATAACTACGTTTGATGCGACATACTCATGAATATATATTGTCCATTCACTTCCACAACTAACGACCCTCAGTTAAAAAAACGATGAGTAACGTGCACATCGACCAATGCGTGTGGAGTGATCGAATCGGTTGTGTCCCTCTCCCATTGGTAGTCTAGCACGCTTGTTTGATCCATCCGTTCATTCTGATAGGACAATCCCATAACAAACGCCATACACCAACCCGGTTAACTATTTTAGTGAGTTTCTTCATGCTTTTTGCAATGTCAGACTGGAGACCTCAGAGTCCCCCTCAACGGGGCGCGGTATAGGAGAAGTACGCATGCTGAGGCAGCCAACTCGTTTGTATGCGTGAAACATAATCGGGCCATCAGAAGTAGTCCAGAGAGACACTGGAAAGTCGGTTGACAGACAACACGACGATGAGCTTTAGTAGTAAGCACTTGGTTTTCTTACCAGATAAGAGAGATGGGTCGCAAAAATCAGTAGTTAAACACGGATGATCCCTTGATATTGTCAGGAAATCAAACAGGTAGTAAAGCGCTGTCAATCTTATCTACGACGCTGACAAAGAAATTGAATCAATCACAAGATAGGCCAACGACAAGCTAAGCTGAGTTTGCCAGACTTTCGCCTGTTGGACTAAGTTATGCAGATATAAGGGACACCCATGATCAGTTCGAGTACAAATTTGGAGAGGGGTTAGGAGATAGGACAAACGATACGAAGCCATGTGAAGTGACGAATTTGAGAAGTAGCTTCCATCCCATTCAATGCAATACACAATGATAAGAAACGAGGTCACAAACGTTGTAATCAAATGAAGGAGGAGAACCATAGTGTGACGTTGTGCTAGTGGCTAGATGCGACAAAACATATGCTGTATTTTGTAGCTCCAATTGAGTCATAGCTGAAGTATACTGCAGGTTTATCTCAAGCAAATGGTTAGATATGGATGTAATCAGTGCGAAGCATTGACCTAACTGATAACCCGTCCCAATCAATAGTACTAGGAGGATGTTAATCTCTGATTGAGGATATGTGCAGTTATCGTAGTTAGTACACTCAAGGAGCGGTTCCATTCTGAGACGGATTACCGCGCGGATTTATGTCCCAAAGGGAGAATGTTAAATGAGTGCAGGTATGTTTAAAATAAATTACAACTTCAATCCACAGTGCTTATCGTCATTTGCTTGGGCATGGGGAGGCATACCGTGCTCATGGATACGTGATATTCTGGCAGCTATTCATAGACCTCAACCTCAGGACATTAAAATCATTCGCATAGTAATTTAAATCCGATGTCCATATCGCCAGCGAACGGGATGTTTCATTTGAACAACAACCATGAGAAAGGATATGTTTGATCTTGCTTACCCTCGAGGGTTTACTGCAGCAAGGCCAGTGGACGATCAGAGATGAAACATAAAATTAGCGTAAATTGAGGGAAGATGGATAATGAATAACCATCCCCACCCCGATCCAAGAATTCGTCTGTCACGATCAAAACCAAAGACAGTGGAGCTATTTTTGCGCAACCGATTTCATTCGTCAATATTTATGTTCAAAGAACAACGTGGGAAGTCACTAGGGCCAAGTTAACAGTGGCGAGTAACGCGCCGTTAGAGTGGAGTATCAATGAATTCATACTGCATCGAAAAAGATGGGGAAGAGTAAAGGGGAGACGCCGTAACATGGCTTACGAACACAGGATTCAAACAACAAATTCGATGAATGCGATAGAAAAGTTTCAGATTCAAGTATAGCAAACAAATCTGCCATGAAGTTGCGGTGCTTCAAATACTGCATGGCAGAATAGATAGGCAGCAATTTGACGAACCCATCACCAACACTAGTGGGGTCGACGCAATAAGGTCGAGCACAAGGTTTTACATAGAGGAGTAAACTAACCTTCGTCATCCAGTTCGGGTATGAGGAATAATCGGGGGTTATTTAAGCGTCGCTGAATATCGAAGAAATTTTTGCGCGTGGAACGCACGCGATTCATTATGTTGGAGATGTTCGTGTTGAGTGCGTCGCCACTCCAACTACTGTAATCAGCTGAATCCAACAGCTCTTCTTGTGACGACGAATCGTGCATACTCGCTTCATTGTAGTCCGGGGTGGAATCGAGATCAGGGTTGCTCGTCAGCAAACGATCGAGATCAGACTGAACTGCTTGCAAGGCCATGCAGCATTCGGCATCAATCTCCGCCTCCGAAGGGGCTGTCTGGCAGGGAAAATCAGGCTCAAGATTTTGTCTGAGAAAAGGAGGACGAGTAGAATAGACATTGGAGGCGGAATCGATCAACGGAACTAGGCAAACGGACAGTGCACTGAACAAAACGACTAAACCTAGATAGACACTACCAGCAAAGTTCTGGGCATACAAAATCCAGGGAAGGGTGCTCGTGAAGCCCGTAAAGACAACTTCGACTGTGGAGTGAGTGAGCGAAACAAGGAACCTATTCACTGAGCTTCAGAGAAATATAGCACTAAAATACAGATGGCAGAGGAAGCTCAGGAAAGTGATCAAGAGAATGCTAGAGTAAGCAAACACAAACCCACAAAAAACCGAGGGCGCAGCAATCTAACATCTTAGCGAGACAATCCACGGTGCTATGAGAGAATGAAAAAATGTTACAAGTATGCGTACATTTATACTTGGATGTACAGTTGATATGTGAAGGACAGTGAACAGTCTGGACGGAGAATCAACTCAATCGCAGAATGGTATCATAAAGTGCATAATATGAAGAGAGAAAAGACCGAAACGTATATCGACTAAGCCCAAGTGAAGCAGATAGTATTTCGACAAACCTGAGTCCCATACACAGCGTATGTCAATATTTACTGTCTGCCAGTACATGAGTATAGACAGGCGCGAAATTCGTCCTCAGCCCTTATGCAGTCAATAAGACCTTGGCGAGTGATAAGCCGGTTAAAAAGCAAGAAACCAGTGTAGCAGATGTTCAGCCTGAGTTACACAGAATCAGTCGTTAGAAATGGAACCAGTAGGGCATCGAACAGGCTAAGAAGGAAAATCCACAAACAGTGTTAAGTGAACAGATACACACTAATTGGCGAAGTACAGCGGTCTGCAAACAGGCGATAAAGGTAAGTTGTTGGAAACACAGTAAGTGGACAGTCACTTGAGGCCGATTATTGTGCATGAAGAGTAATCCCTGGAACATATATGTGAAACACCATCATAAACACCGGCAACAAGGAAATAAATATATTTTGTATCCTTCGCTCGAAGTAAGACGACTGCAGCCTTAAAACGGTGGAAAATTTGTATGTGCTTTTCGGCAGTACCAGATGATAAGCCTAAGGCCGTGATCAATGACAACTGAAGGTTGCGGCAATGCCCGAGGTTACCTGTCGAAATTCGCGTTAGAGATGTAGCGTTATGAAACCACCTTTAATAGAAGCATCAGCAGTACGTCGGCACATCGTACTGACGCAACATTATCATGTGACCACCACCGGTGACGCTTGGACCGGGTATATCGCGACGTAACCAGTACCTACGCGGATTCGAACCGGTGGCCACCGGATTACAGGTCAAGCGTGTGAACCTTTCGGACACCGGTCGTTAAATATAAATCGATGCTTGGGTCTTAGGCCAAAAGCATTTGCTGTTTTCCATTAGCCAGTTTGGAGGGGAAGGAACCATTGGTATACAATTAGCCTCGTTTGACGTTCAATCGTTGATTAACCTGACATCAATATTCTTGATGATTAATTGACAGTGCAATTGCGAAGCGCAGCGTACCTAAGGGAGGAATGAACCTGTGATGGTGGCTGAAAGCTGGGGCGAACCGAATCGCCTGCCTCAGTGCGGTCGATCGAGCGGACGAGTGGGTTTTTGAATATACAGCTTGTTGTAGTTTGCCTCAGAGTTGCGAATAGAACGTTTGTGCGCAGAGCGGTGTAAGCTCTTTTGACGCGGCTCGGGAACCCAGGCACAGAACATGGTGACAGACGTACAAAGGTGCCAAAACTTGCTCGCCATTGAGGAGCAATTAATGATCTCATTGCCAACCCCGGTAGAGATGAGAGAAAGCACATTGTCGGACAATTGGAAAGCGTGGAAAGCGGATTGGATGGAATTCGCGGCGTTGATCCAGTTGGATGAATATGCAAGACCATATCAGTTGGAAATGTTCAGATACTCCACTGGCTCTGAAGCAAGTCGGATAATGAAGGCCTGGGATCTTTGTGACAATGAAACGGATCTTTTGGAAATAATGAAGCGTTTCGAAGAATACTGTGAAGGTCGATCGTATTTATTTATCCACTGCCGCCGAGTGGACGAGAATCGTTCAGTCGAACCTGAAAGCGATTAACAGTCGCAAGAGCGATTACCAAATAACTTGGAACACTGGTAGCCCGGTTTGGTTGCTAACCTGATGATCGTTTTTCCGAGCTTGGTAAAGAGATCGCATACGTTTCACCACCATGCGAGGTGACATCTTCAGTGCAGTAATAGGCATTGTTGAATTGTCAGCCCGTCATCCACGGGCAGATGACTTTTGAGGGTGGCAATTTCGATTTGCGCCACGTGATCTCTGTCCATTTGCTTCCACGGCTGAACCACGTCTTGCGATTTGCCGGAGATCTTTCTTTCTGAGTTGATGGTAAATGAGGTCGATGTCGATGCGCATGTTGATCGAATTATTAGATGAGTACCATGCTTCTAGGAACTCTCTTCCTTTCTGTGTTGTTGTTTGAGCTAAAATCACCGTTTTGTTCCAATTGAAGCTATGTCCCTCCTCATCCACATGCGCTGAGACAAGAGACGATGCATAATGTTTTTAGAAGCCCTCCGGTGTTCTTGTATCCTTGTGAATAGTTTTCTTCTTGTCTGTCCCACATAGTTCATTGCACAATTATTGCAATTTATTTTATACACGACGTTTGTTCGTTCTTGTGCATTCCTAATGTCTTTTAAGTTTGACAGTATTCTTCTCAAAGAAGAGAAACACCTATTCGATTCGTTCGAGCGCAATGGATATCCACGCAGCTTCATCCGCAGATGTCTAAACTATAAACTTATGAACACCGAGTCGATAACGAATGCAAGCAAGAGGGTCGTTTTGCTGTATATGAAGAACATATCTGAAATGACTGCCAGATTGCTCAAACAACACAGTATCGTGGTCGGTCATAAGCCAACCACTACTTTGAGAAGAATACTGTCAAACCCAAAGGACATTAGGAATGCACAAGAACGAACAAACGTCGTGTATAAAATAAAGTGCAATAATTGTGAAATGAACTATGTGGGACAGACAGGAAGGAAATTGTCCACAAGAATACAAGAACACCAGAGGGCTTGTAAAAAGCATTATGCATCGTCTCTTGTCTCAGCGCATGTGGATGAGGAGGGACATAGCTTCAATTGGAACAAAACGGTGATTTTAGCTCAAACAACAACACAGAAAGGAAGAGAGTTCCTAGAAGCATGGTACTCATCTAATAATTCGATCAACATGCGCATCGACATCGACCTCATTTACCATCAACTCAGAAAGAAAGATCTCCGGCAAATCGCAAGACGTGGTTCAGCCGTGGAAGCAAATGGACAGAGATCACGTGGCGCAAATCGAAATTGCCACCCTCAAAAGTCACCTGCCCGTGGATGACGGACTGACAATTCAATAAGCAGCATTACGCACCGCCTATTACCGCACTGAAGATGTCACCTCGCATGGTGATGAAACGTATGCGATCTCTTTACCAAGCTCGAAAAAACGATCATCAGGTTACCAAATAATTTAGTAAATCAAGAAGATCAGCATTGCATTTCTGCAATACCCCAGATTCAAGGATTATCAGTACCGTCAAGACTTGATTCAAGAGTCACCGTGAGCATGTCGCCCGGAAAACAATACAGCGGAATGCAGTGTAGTGTGAAACAGAGTTGTCACAAAAGGTGGAACGACTTCACGGTGCACCCAAAAGGGGAAGGCTGTGGTGGACGCCCTCAAGAAAGCAAAAAATAAAGTTATCGAAGTCAAAGCGACGCATGAAGATCGTTATCTAATGCAACTAGGAAGAAATACGCATTCTACCGCATTCGGCAGCAGTCTAGTGCAGCTCCAATTCAGTCACAGGATAGACCGCAAGCTCGTCCGCAGTGGACGAGGATATAGAAACTGCAACACAAGAATTACGAAAAAAGAAAAGGATGTGATGGTGGCTGAAAGCTGGGGCGAACCGAATCGCCTACCTCAGTACGGTCGATCGAACGGACTAGTGGGTTTTTGAATATATAGCTTGTTGTAGTATGCCGAACAACCTCCTCGTGGTGCCAGCTGGGTGGTTCGGGATTTTCCCGTTTCAGCAAATGGTTCGGCGGCAGGGTTCCAGGACGTGGTGGGCTTTCGCCTGTCAAGCATTCTCCCTATAAAAAGCCACATATGCCCGCTTAACAACACTGTGACGTGGCGGACGTGACTCGCCACTAAATAAAGTCACTGCCCCTTGCTTCATCCTGGCGAAGCATTGTAGTCCAGCAACGTCATGCTGTACTTCTGGGGAGCATTGGGCCCCTGTTTGACAAAGGAACAAACGAAAGGTGTATGAACTGAGCAATCAGTCACCGGCTCCCAATGGGCGCGATTCCCTGAATTCGCTCCGCTGCCTTGCGGACAGGGTATTCAGCCAAAAACTCGGGGTGGTGTCCCCTAAGTCAACATCCTACTTCGGCTTGGGCAACCGGGTAGTATCTCGCCCTCTGAGGGAACCATGGACATTGTTGTGTTGTGTTTTATTTTACTATTTCTGTACCTTCGTTTGGATCCCATGGTTTCTGATGGCATTATGTCTATTCGTAGACTTTTGCAAATATATACATATATATGTAGTATGCCTCACAGTTGCAAATAGAACTTTTGTGCGCAGAGCGGTGTGAGCTCATTCTTCTGAAGCGGTTGGGGGACCAGGGTACAAAACAGAACCGGTTACCATTCGATGAAAACTAGACGTTCATAGTGGAGGAACTGACAATTACCGGCAATCAAGTAGGGCACCGTTAGAAAAAATGTTATAATTAATTATTTGACATGAAATTTCAAGAGAGCAAGAACGAACAGCATTTATGCGGGATAATTTGAATTCAGATTATTTCGTGTCTTCCCGCATAAATGCTGTTCGTTCTTGCTCTCTTGAGATTTCTGAAGGGAAATGGCTGCATGATATGAAATTAATCGCTAAGTATTCACATACGAACTTACATTTTTGTCCCAAATGCTGACTCTGAGCGTGCAGTTGGGGCCACCTTCTCTGAAGAAAGAGTTGAATCGGGGAGCACTGAAGCGGAAGCAATGAAGTGCATGCCGACCAGGATGAGTAAAAGACTTGATAATAAAGCAATGCTACTAAAATAGGAAGCATGGTAAATCGTGGAGGAAAAGGCAGAAACGATGTAACCCACGTCGAAATCGAATAAACCTGCAGAAAAGGATTAGATAAAGGTGGAAAAAGCATAGAATTATGCGTTCTTCAGTAAAAAATAACATGAAGTGCAGACAAGATAACGTTGGTCGATAAGTCGACTTATCAAAAGGTTGTTATTGTGTAGGGACCTTAAATATGTTCTGAACGGTTTGTGCCAATTAGAATCCCATCCCACCCGTAAAATATCAGTATTCAAAATTGTGACACCCCATGACTATTGGTCTCAAGGAACCATTCTGGCCTGAGGCAAAACAATACAGGAAAGTGTCACACTGAGCCCTGTAAAACAAAACATATGGATATAGCTAACAAATTTTGACGCGAACATTTTGTCTTAGACCAACTTAACATCAAAGTACTTATGAACGAACTGTTTTCCATATTTCTAACCGATGCCCTTTTCTGTCCAGATGTGTCGGTACAAAACTACAGGGCTTCATGACATCCGTCAATACCAATTCCTACACACCACGGCTGCCAGTGATGCACCGATCCGGAACCTGTTTTCTTGTGATAAGTTGAACCGAAAATGTTTTCAGCCGTTTAGTTACAAAATTCGACCAGATCGACTTCAACCCGTATCTCACACCGCTGAGATATAGACTGATCTATTTCCCTTACGTTTCCATTCATTACATTAGTCTGGTAATATTAAAAATTTCTTCTACTTTCCCGAGCGTAATAGCCCGGAAGCAATCCTGAGTGCTCCGCAATACCAAATACTGTATTTTGCGAACACAGGCAACTGCCAGACAAACCTGAAGTTTCCTTCCCGAATTGCCTCGCACTTCGATAATCCACCTATTACGGCGATCCCACCGTATAGTTTAACCGAAAAATTTGTCGGCCCTCCTTGGCGGTATTTAAACACAACTTCTTATTTATCATCATCACCGTAATTGTCATTCCACCTCCTCATATTCTATAATCTTCCTTACTCCGTTGTTGGCCATGAATGGGTCGATCTCCTGAGGTGACGGATTTCAGCTTCCAAACTAATAGATGAATCCATGCGAGGCAAGATACCATAGACTCCCTGACGAGTAATAAAAGTGTTTGACTCATAAAATACTGATTGATGGTACGGGCCATATGGCCTCAATGTCCATATGGATTAATAGAAACGAAAGCGGAGCTGAATTTGGGAATCGAGTGAGTATTGATCGGCCAGCAACTACCAGCCCGTGTCAAAGGAATCGAACTATTCCGTCAATATGATTAACCCGTGGAGTGGAACACACTCACATTGGCTGAAAACCAGACGCGGAATAGTGAGCGATCTTGACCTCCTAAATTAGCATGTTTCGGTTACCAATAAATAGAGTTAACTTATCCTGTAGTGATATACTCTCTGTCAACCGAATTCTGGCCTTTTGTGTTCCTTCGGTTGGCTGGGCGCATGACTGAGAAGTCCGACAGTAGCAGTCTCATAGGGCAGCTAGCAGCAGTACAACAGTTGTCAGTGGCAGAGGGAAAGAAGAAGCTTTATAACATACATACATACATGTAAAAAGAACCCTAAAGATGAGTACAGCTGGTGATGTCAAACCTGTTTTAAAACCATACAAGCACACAATCAGAACAGACATGGAAAAGCGAGTGAAAGATTTCGAGAGAATAGCCTGCATGGAAGCAGGTCCCTTGGAGACGAATCCACGGTTGGCCATATTAATTTACTGGAACATTTAAACTGATCTGCATTTATTACTAGTATCAAGCAATCTATCCAGATGCAGCCGATCAATCAGCCCCGCAAAATAGTTTGGGAATTGATATGAAAAGAACACGAAGAAATTTTCCGGCCCACACGATACATAATGACTAGACAAATCAGTTGGACAGTGCCTCGCACCGTCGAGCGATGAGCGGCTACCGACGGGGACCAAGTGCAGGGTAAGCCCCCAATACTCGGTGGTAATGTGGAACACAAATGAAGGATGTGATGCAGTTTGAACCGTTGTCCACAATCGCTTTGGGTTAAATTGCTGCTTCGAAAAGGAATGCCAGTGGCTTCATACGTTTCAAAATTCAACGGTTATCCACGTTGTCAATGAAGGGAAGACGAATGTGGAGCAGTTCGACAAATGTAGAGGCTGTCTAAGCAAGTCCGGTTGCGAAAACCATCGAAAGGTCAAAACCTCCAGGAATTTAGGTTGGAAAAGCTAAGCGGTGAATGCAGCACCGATATGGAGGATGATCAATGGGCCACGTAAACCTGGTCAGGTGTAGGTGTGTAGACTAATTTGCCAGTTAACGACCAGTGTACCACAGCAAAGTAGCAGAGTATGATGTTCGAGCGCGGGTAGAATTATTACGGTAGATGGATGAAAGAAAAACAGTGATGGCCAAGATACGGAAAATAAGCGCAGGGTAAAGGGGAAAAAGAATTCATTAGTATGGCGATTGGTTAGGCCGATAGCCACTTCTTCTGACCATGAATCTACGTTATCGAACTTGAGGCAGACAGGCAGTGATTGACGACCACTACCGAGAAAAATGATACAAAGTCGAAAAGAGTGGCTGGTTGCAAATACCCGAACTCCCGCTGGATTGAACACATCAGCAATGTGTGTTAGAATGTTCGTAAAGAAGTGAAGGGAGACAGCCTGCTTTGATTGGTATCGAATTGTCGAGAAAAAAGGATGTGGCGAAAGAGATGTTAGGTAGACCCGGCGGCTAACTAAATAACTAAATAAAGCATATTCTCGGCTATATAATCGAGAGAAATTACACTGGCTCTCACAGAATGATACATTTAAGGAGACAGTCCATCAGAATTCGAGGAAACAATATCAATGACGGATGGTGCCCGGTGGGCCATGCATCCAATGGCTGATAATCGAACAAAGGCACTTTCAATAAACGGGAGGTCGAATTTCTAGCATGCTGACAATCATGGAATAATATGCAGTACTGCTTCAATCATACTGAAAGGTGCTCGTCCAAACGATGTAAGTGTCAATAAACGGAAAGGTCCAAGTCGTTTCACAACCGCCAGCAATAGAGCGGATTGCCAAACAGAGCGACACTAACATGTGTAATCTAAAAGACGAGCGCAACGAATACAAATCCAGCACCAATGCAGCGGTAAAATGGTAGGAGACTTTGGATCGGCCGCAGCTTTTTTGCCGAACATCATACTTGTCTTGCTGTCTATTGCAGATATATCAGTTTTGTAAGAATAGTCTGACATAATTTTTGTTCAAATTATTTCCAAGGTCACTGAGACGGTCATACTCCATCCACATTTCGAATACAAAGGTGGAGATAGTGCGCATGATTTCCGATTTATTGCTTTTAGACAAAATGTTTACGTCAACTGAAACCGGTTGTGCAGACAAGTTTGAAAAAATTTGCTGTTTATTGGAGGCAAACCGCGAACATTCGGTTCGGCATTGTGCGATCTTTGTCCTAAAAAGTGAAGATGTTTACTCGATTGACGCCGATACATCCATTTGCCGACCGTGGCCGAAAGGAGCACAAGCCTACTTTGTAATTCGAGAGTCACGGGCTCGAGCCTGCGCACGGGACCGTGCGACCCACGCAGTATCCTTAGCCCATACAGCAAGCTCCAACAGAAAATCATCAGCCCAAAATGGCAAGTCAGATGGCGTTCAGTACGAAATGGAACATTATCGCCATCATCATAACACGTTAGCTGACGGTGAGAAACACACTTTAGCTATTGAAAAAAGCAATATACTAAACAGTATAAAAAAGAAAAAAGTAATAAGAACAACACGGAATGTACTGCTAAGTATCACATCATACTTGGGATGGGAAAGCGCGATTGGAGGAGGAAGCTAAACTTGTGCGGGTGGCGACAAAGAGACTCACGACACAGGCACCAATGATGGCAGCTCTTCGTCATGTAAACAAGTGCATCAAGTTGAATGTATTCATCGTCATTGGGACATCAGCCTGGCAGTCGGGAGGCACCAACCGAGGCCAACTTCGAACTAAGGGCTTTCATTCTTTTAGACCAAGTCATTGTTTGGCCTCCACTCCTCTTCATCCATCCACATCCCTGGTATGTAAACAACGCACTTCGTGGGAGTCGGTGTGCTGGCATGCGCAGCACGTGGCACAGCCATCGGAGCCTTGTGCTGAGCGGTTCATTCGCTTCCTGCCGAACACGCTCATCACTCATGTGGTGTTCCAACCACTTGTGAGCCAAACTGCGAAGGAAGCGATGGTCGAACGTAGTCTATTTAATTCTGTCGACTTGACGGACCAGGTTTTAAAACCATATGAAAGGGTTGAAAAGGCGGCCGCATTGGAAACAGCCCATTAGAGCGAGAGTTACGTGACGCCGGCGCCATAGGTAGCGGAAATTGACAAGTCTCAAGCTTCTGCATTACGGTTCGTGGACATATCCATTCCAAGCGCATTAATATAGCCGCCTAAATATTTAAATTTATGATCAACTTCTAGCAGATCACCACAAGAGTCAACGTAGGGGTCGGTCCTTGCCAATCTTGGAGAAGGACTTTGCATTGTGAAGTTGCGAAGCATAGCCCGAAACGAAGTCAGATGCGAACAAGTAGGGTTGCTCAGCGAAACGCAATGAGGCACTGTAAATACCGACTTGAGAAAGGGAAATTGGAGGCCAAAAATAATGGAGACCGGGGCGCGTTGGAATGTTACTATGAATAAGATGCGCAGAGGTTTTTCGGGTGTTTAGTAGATGCCAACCTTTGCCCAGTCATATTGATTTCTAGGTAGTAAGTAATTTTTTGTATTCCGTAGATAATGATAATAAGTACATTATTTACGATGAACGACTGACCATAATCCGTGGAGTGGGTGTCCGGAGGAACCGTTTTCTGAGTTGATGGAGCCTCGGGTGTAAACATGCTCTTGCTTTGTTGGTAACGGTCCTCACCAGATTGCAACATTTTTGGATCAACGGAAAGGACCTCCGAGCCATCGTGGATGTTCTCATCAGCGGAACGACCACACACGTAGGGACAAGTGGAGGGGTTCCGCTGCTCTCCAACAGACTCGGAATTTAAAAGACCCAGGCGAGTGGACTGTTCGACGGCTTTTTCAGCTGCAGCTACCGTCTTTATTGGTACCAGTTTCTCAGATCGAGAAGAATTGTGAGCTGTTAAAATGTGTGGGCCGACGGTGACGAGTGCGGCAAGACGGCGGTAGCCAGGAAACATAGAAGGGAGGATACGATTCCGATAAAGATTCACTTGACGGCAAACAACCGGATCCAAGAAAGCCGCCGCCGGGGCCTGATTATAGACGTGAAGCAGAGCAGCTGAATAGTCCGACATACCTGATAAACGAAAGAAATGCGGCCTCAAGACGCTTTTATTTAAATGTTTTGTAACAGTGAGCTGGTGCAATTTGCGGCTCAAATATTAGACAAAACCTTTCAATATGAGACATCATTTCGAAACGTCTGACACAACATAAAGATTTCGAAAAGATTAAGGAATGCAGTAAAGTGCATGTCAATTTCCAGAAACACCTTGGCTATGGATGATGTGCACAGACAGGGACAGCGTGAACATAAAAAAATACGGTGACCAATAACAGCGAAATCGGGTGCTCAACACACCAGAAGACAAACTAAACGAATCCTCAGGTACAAACGTTAATCGCATAGAGGGATTACAAGACAGTAAGACCATTCATACACTTGGGAACACGAGGACTTTGGTAGGCACAGCAAGCACGAATCAGTGCCCGTTTATCAAAGAATGAGAAAACATAAGTATGGACATCCAATTTCTATAGGGAGGTGTAGCATAACTGTTCGAAGGTGCGCAGATGCTGCTACCTGGCTCCCATTAGCAGGTTAGATGAATCAACAACTGGCGCCGATAATGAATAAATATATAGAGGACGGGTAAACATCCAATACAGTTCCTAAATCAAACGGTGCAAGCTCTGGAGCAAGCAAGGACTCAAACAAAACCCGGATAACTATGGCGTGGAATCGTGACCAAATCTTCAGTCTAACGTAGAAGATGAAGAGATTAACGAGGGATCCAAGGTATCGAATAAGACAGGTCAACTGATGACCGAAGAAAACGAAGGAAGTTAAAACCGCCATATCGCAATAAACTACGAGGCCGCCCCAGAATCAAAAACAATAGCGACGCTGTGCTGGGAACAATGAATAAAGAGAATATCGACAAAAAGCATTTTCAGGACTAATGAAAAATAAGCGCGAAAAATAATGATCAGATCGAATACGATAGTCCGGGTGCGAATATTTAGTTGGTACATCTCATCAAATAGTGGCATAGAGGATGGGAAGAGAACAAAGTGGTGCAAGCTTGTGGACGCGGTCGCAAAACATAGATGAATCGTTCTAGTACCTCAAAGCCTACGTGTGACGGAACTCAAGCAGATTCCATTCTGTCTCTGCAATCACATTCTCTAGCCAGAGCTTTTCCCCACTGCCTTGTGGCTCAGGCTATTGAGTCAAAGGCTCCGGGCGGAGTCGCTCAAACAAACCTCCAAACAACCCACTGCCTCGTGGGTCAGGCTATTGTGCCAAAGGCTCCGGGTGGAGTCCCTCAAGCAAAACTCCGAAGCACAACCGCCACCTCGCGTGCGATTGTCCACCAATGCAATCGTATGCCTGCGCGCAAAACACGGCATCGGGTGCTGGAACGTGCGCACACTACTAGACCGGAACTCGAGTAAGCGCCCCGAGCGACGCCTCGATGGAATTGGAGCGGTACAACATAGATATTGCGGCACTCAGTGATACTCGGCTCGCTGAGCAACTTACTTGCATGAAGCAGGTGCTGGCTACGCATTCTACTGCGTGGGCAACGCCAACTCAGCACCACCATGGTCAGCTGGTGGGTGAACCAACAGGCATCAGCGCGCAACTGATAACTGTTCGCCTACGATTCGGAAGAGGTAAGTTTGCCATTTGCATAAGCACGTACGGTCCGACCATGTGTTATCCTGATGACACGCGTGATCAATTCTGCACTTAACTATCCTTCCTTTTACGGTCTGTGCAGAGGAGCGACCGACTGTTTCTGTTGGGTGATTTCAACGCGCGAGTTGGGCGTGATGCATCGGTCCACATGGCATTGGTTCAGGTTGCTCCCCGTGTGTGCCATTCACAGCCTGAGGATCTCGAACACTCGGTTTGCACTGAGTGCGAGCGATATAGCAACTTGGACGCACCCAAAGAGTGGTCACGTTCACCTGCTCCACTATGTCATCGTACATCAGCGTGATATTCGTGAAGTGCGTATGACACGTGTACTGCGTGGAGCTGAGTGTGGCACTGATCACAAATTGGTGCAGACCAAACTGTACATATATTTTCGTAAAATCTATGTATTGCACTCCTGCCGTGAATCGGCGTACATTTAACATTCTCTCCCTCTTTACTGCGGAGAAACGTATCGAGTTGGAGGTGATGGCTGCACGCCTCGGTGATGTGAAATGCATAGCCACAGTGGGCGACCTGTGGCACCACATTCGCGACCAAGTGACAGCTACTGCTGAGGAAAAAATTGGGCGCGCAAACTGTAAGCGGCCTGATTAGTTTGACGAGAACAATGCGACCTTTGGCGCATTGGTCTATCAGAAGAAAACTCGTCACTCAAGTTGTGGAACCGGATGTGACGGAAGAGCAGTGTGGATTTCGTTCGGTTCGAAGCACTGTAGCTATAGTGTTTGCGGCTCGTCAGTTGCAGCAGAAATGCAGAGACCGACACCAGTAGTTGCACTTACTTTTTGTTGATTTCACCAATTCATTCGATACGGTGAACCGCGAGGCATTGTGGCTGGTGTTTGGTTGTTTGCGTAAGTGTAAGTTTAATTGTATGTCTTCACAGTGGTATACGGGTAAGAGTGCAGCTCAGTAGAGAGACCTCTGATGACTTTGCAGTTGTCACTGGTGTGAAGCAAGACGGTGTTTTAACTTTAGCCTGCTTAATATATATATATATATATGTATATATATTTATATATATGGAAATCGGGTATTGCCCACCCGAAAACACTGCACAGCCACGACGCGTTTCGATGTAATTTCATCTCATCAGGTGGAGACAGCAGGATCTGAACCCACGACCATTGGAATAGCAGCCCACACTACTACCCCTTTGGCTACCGGGTCAGGATGGGCAACGCTTTTTTGTCACAACGGTAAATGACTAATTGAAGGGTCAAGTTTGGATTACACGTTGTGTGATTGGATTGCGACACGCAACCTCAATTTAATGGACTGTAGTTCACATTGAAATGAACCTTAGTCACTGCGATCGCTGGGACCGTATTCAAAGTAGATGGAAATTGGGTATCGCCCACCCGAAAACACTGCACAGCCACGACGCGTTTCGATGTAATTTCATCTCATCAGGTGGAGACAGCAGTATTTGAACCCACGACCATTGGAATAGCAGCCCACACTACTACCCCTTTGGCTACCGGTTCTCGATAGTCGTGAGTTCAAATCCTGCTGTCTCCACCTGATGAGATGAAATTACATCGAACGCGTCGTGGCTGTGCAGTGTTTTCGGGTGGGCAATACCCAATTTCCATCTACTTTGAATACGGTCCCAGCGATCGCAGTGACTAAGGTTCATTTCAATGTGAACTACAGTCCATTAAATTGAGGTTGCGTGTCGCAATCCAATCACACAACGTGTAATCCAAACTTGATCCTCCAATTATATATATATATATATATATATATATATATATATATTCATGCAATGATGTCTTGCACCTTTGATGCGTCTTGTGCTTACGGTGTTCGTGGGAAGCACCGTATTAATGGTGAGTTGCTGAACATCCGTCGGTTCGGTGCGAGAACTCTAGTCTGTGAGACAACTATCCGTATGTTGCTATTCGCTGACGACTGTGCGTTGTTTACACACAGCGCGGATGAGTTGCGGCACGTGACTAGTGCTCTGGCTTAAACAGTGGCCAAATTCGTGCTCATCGTCAACACAAGCAAAACTGTCTGTCCCTTTCAGCCTTCACCGGAGGTGCAACCTTCAATATTGCTGCGAAGCAGCATTGGTGCTGAAGTATTAGAAACCACCTACCGCTTCTGCTTCCTTGGGAGTATGATGTCGACTGACCAGGAGCTACACAGTGAGGTTCGTATCCGCCTGTCGAAGGCAGCGGCGGCATTCGGGAAGCTAGAGTACCGAGTGTGGAACAACCATCAGATTACCGTTAGCACCAAGCTGATGGTGTACAAATCCATGGTGCTGTCCGTCCTTCTATAGGGCAGCGAAACCTGCACGATGTGCCGGCGCAATGTGCGATATCTCGAGCGGTTCCATCAACAATGTTTGCGACGGATTCTGCGCATTGGTTGGTGCGACAGGGTTGCGGACACGAAAGTGTTGCGCTGAAGTGGAATGTATGCAATGGACTGTATACTTTTACTGAGACAACTTAGGTGGCTCGGTCATGCGCGGCTTATGGATTCCACGAGGATACCGAAGCAAATGTTATTTGGTCAGCTGAGATTAGGAAAGCGGCGTGTGGGGAAACAGAAGCTTCGTTACCAGGACATGATCAAAGTGAGCCTATCACATTCGAATCTTGGTTGCAGGTCATGGGAATCGAAAGCGGTTGACCGGCGTGCATGGCACGACCTGAGCACGAAAGCCGTTGCCGAAATGCAAGAGAAAGCCCTCATGCACGCAGAGAAGAAGCGGCAAGTGCGGAAGCGGCAGGCGACGACGGGTTGTATTCCATTGACATCGAGTGCATGGTGCTGTAGCACATGCGGTCGCGAGTGCTTGAGTCAGGCAGGTCTAGTGAGCCATGAGCGAGGCCACTCGGGGCCCCTACCGCAACGACGATGCGTTCTGCTGAAAACGCAGGCAGACCCGGTGCAGCGTTTGTAGGTGCGCTGCATTCGATTTACTAACCGCGTACTTATATGCCGAGTCTCTTTATTTCAGGTGGTGGATTTCCTTTATTGTCCTAGTGCTTTTGTATCTCATATTAAAGTCTGTCTGAACTATCTTCTACAAACTTGCACACGTTCCTTAAACTAATATAGTTAACTCCGGTAACACTTTCGCGTTTGAGGCATTTTCTTAAAATATATATTATGATAAATTGAACTTATCGCGAATTTGTTGGTAACCAATCTATTTCGAATGCTCATTCGGTGAAGAGTTATGTCACCGTCTCAGTATGCATTATTCGATTTATTATACCTGTGAGTGGACGGATTTTGGTGAGCAATTTTGTTCCTCGCAATCAGCCGACAATTCAGATAAGTCAACTAGCTCTCCGGAAAAACATCAGACGGCCGTTCCGCCCAAT